AGGAGTTCGCAGAGATTTTGAGAAGCAAAGGTATCATGCATTCCACTCATGAGAGATTCTGGAAACAGATTTACGCATGTGGATCCGAGCCTTTCTATTGGAAACAGGGTGATGGCAAAGAAGTCATATGGGCCATATTGGAGAAATCCTTGATGCGGCAAAAGATTTTCCTTCATTGTGCAATGGATCATAACACAGTCCATGAGCTGAATGAGGAATGTGTTCATGTGAAGAATACGGGTTTTGACTTAGAGACGATCAAAAGATGCACCGATCACCCAAGAGTCATCCCGAACCTCCGCACCAAAGAGACCACAGATGCGCAAACTGGGTCAGCTGACATCATTGGAGGGATGAAGCACATGAAGGACTCCGGTCAAAGAAGGGCATGGACAGACATCCGACGAGGTGTTTTTACTCCAGAACCCTTGACCGATATGGATGAACATTGGATCGAAGTGACCGAACGTTCCGAGATGATGTGCGATGTCTGCAAGAGTTTCATCTTTGGCGACCGCCGGATGGACACCAATACTGAGAATCGCACGAGTTGTCTGAACTGCGCGAGCAATTGGACAAGGTCTGGAACTTATATGGTGCTGAAATCATTGGCATGGACGAGTTCTCACAGGACGCTCGTGTTGCTGCGAGATTGCTCAATGTTTACAACAGCTGCATTGACTGGCGAGAGATCCATGCAGAAAAAGATCTGAAAGGATTCCTGTTGGCAGCAACCCTTGCAATGCTCACTGGATACCAGACATCAGGTGACGTCCTCAAGCAAGTATCTCATCGAGGTGCTATCCGCATGCCTGCCTACATGGTGAAAGGTAAATGCAGACGATACCTACTATCCCAATTTACCGTTCAACGTGAAACACGCTGTGTAGAGAGGGATGACGGTACCCGCACCATCCGATGGTTTTATAGATTGCTTTGGGATGGAGGGAACGTAGCATACAATGACTACATGAAAACGGTGCTGACCAAAGAAGAGGTTGAATCAATCCTACCTCCTACAGCTTCTGCTGAATATATTGGTGACATCTTTGAGTTCTGGCTTGGGATGCTTGAACTGGGAATCCAGTTCCCCACAATGTTCGAAGGATGGGGGGCAAACATCGATAGTTGCCTCCCCGGACTTGAAGAATCCTTCTGGCTATTTTGCAACTCGTGTCGCCATGCAGACACCATCAACACGGAGCGCAATCGATCAAGGAAGGCATACATCCCACCGGTCGAGAACGCAATGGTGACTGCAATTCTGAAAGAGGCAAAGGTATTTGATCTCCTCCTGCAAAGTGAAATCACGAGGATGCCAGTCATTCCAACAGCGAACTACGATGACAACCCTGAGATGATCCAGATTTCATCCAGTGAAGGTGAAGAAGAAGATGAAGTTGAAGAATCAGAAGAGGACCCTTCGTCGCCGCCGGCGCGAGGCTCTCGAATGGAGCAAGCTTCAGGTGAGACAGATGCTGGGGGTGACGACATCGAAGTTGATGATGATGAAGAGGACATGGGGGGTCGACCTTCTGAGGCAAAGAAACGCCGAACTGAAGTCCGAAGCATCCGTGATCAGTTTGAAAAGATGGTTGCAGAAGCGTCAAATGTTCGATATTGTCTGGTTTGTGGAGGTGATCACAACCTAGATGAATGTCCTGCACAAGACAGTGAACCGATGATTGATGCAATCATGCGCATGAGACTGATGATGGAACAGCAATCGAAGTCCCCATCTTCTTCAGAGAAATCAAGAGCGGCTACCAGGGGAAGAAAGGACAAGCTCCCAAAGAAGGGGATCATGCCTGAAGGAAAGAGATGGAGAAGAACGAGATTCACCGAAAAGGAAGAAGTGACCAAGAGCTTCTACAGCCAACCCGCCTACATGTACGAGATTGGTGATCGTGAAGAAGGTGGGTCATTCCTTGTGAACGGCATCGAAGTCCATCCTCCAGGTCAAGGTGTGAGAAATCGCCAGGAGCTCGATGCCCTCGTGGAAAGAGCAGCTGAAGAATCTCCACCAGTACTGCCCTCAATTCAGGAGCTGAATTCAATAAACCCCAAAAGCAGTGATGAATTCCAAAAATGGATGAAAGCTCAACGAGATGAACATGGAAGTAGCTGGAACTTCAGATACCTTCAACCCTACACATATGGCAATGACATTGGCACTCTCCAAATGGCCCGACTATCCGGTGAAGAATACGTTGGTCATGGATGGTGCGACGTCAGGACATTTGCCGAAAATGAATGGATGGGAAGGAAATGGGAAACACCTCAATGGATGATTGACTTGTCAAAGAGGTTCAATGCTGCCCTTCGTCACTCTGTGGGCTGTGTCAGGGACAAGAAAGGACACACTGGCATTCCCTGCGATGAAGCTGGTTGGGTCAATGTCGAGCAGATCATGAAGTACGACCATATCTGGAAGGATGGACATACCCTAGCAGGAACATCAGAACCCGATTACGAGATCATCGTCAGAAGGTGGGATTCGTTCCAGAAGATCATCTTTACTGAGTACAAGCAAACGAAAAGGATCCGAGCACAAATCCTCGGATTGAAGGTCACAAAAGGTGCATTGGAAAGAACCCTGAGATTGAACAATGCATTCACGAAGAGGATCAACCGACAAAAGTTGAGGATCGAGATAGGCAACGATGATCGAGAGATCTGGCTTTGGCCTGTGGCGGTCAGAGCGCCAATGGCTCACTCCAGGACCCTAGGTGGAGTTCAAATCGATGACAGCAAGACTTCTTATTTGATGAACCCTGGTGTCGGATATACACTCGGGGGAGGTTTCCATTGCACAACATTTGAGTGCATAGCACAGATCTTCCGAGAAGGATTACGCCCCGGAGGAGGAGGAGACCGAATCAACACTTTCTTTGTACCATTTGCACCATGGGATGACAGGAGCAAATCGGTGTTGAGGTTCAGAAAGATCGATGGTGCAGACCTTGTCTACATCTACATGACATATGAATCTCTCGCCAAGTTCTCTCCACGTGTTTCAGCTGATGGACACATCCTGGTGCAACAGACGATTCCATTCAATTCCTTTGGTGCAGTATGGCATTATGACTGGAAAAGTGGAGAATTCTATCGTCTCATGATCACAAAGGGATACGAACAGCTTGTGCTCTCTGTGAAAGGTGCAAAGAAGATTGCAACCATCGATCGATTTGATAACCTCATCGAGAATGTAGTGCCTGATGAATCATCTCCGGATTTGAATGAGCTCCGAAAACTCATTGATATCAAATCGGCACATCAAAGCTACTCATGTAGACTTTTCCCAACACATCAAGATTGGAATGATGCAATCTCATTGCTCGCACTTACTCATCGCCGCATCGCCCGAACAAGGAAGGTCACAGACTATGCCCAGCTTGTTTATGTGAGACTCCGTCTGTGCTGGCAATTTGTGTTATCTGTAAAGGATACCTGATCAGCCATGGCTTCAAGAAGCGTGTCAAGATCACCATCGCCAGTGTTCCGACTGCTGAACAACGTTCGCAAGAGGATGATGTCAAGGATCATGTCAAGCAAACATGGGAGAAGATCAAGATCGACCTGACCAGCGATGATGATGATGATGGAAACATCGAGCAAGGTGATGATGATGTTGAGATGAAGAGCCCACCAGAAGAAAGCCAGCAAGGCAATGACGATGCGGGCCAAAAGTCCGATACTGATGAGCTCAAATCGGAGAAGAGAGATTTCAGGGAACAAGATGAAGTTGATGACTTCCTCAATGAAGAACGTGAGAAAGCCGAAACCATCGAAGAAGAGGGAGCAGATGATGCAAACATTGACATTGAAGAATATCAAGCCGATGAAGCAAGAAATGTCTACATTGCATACCCTGCTTGGTTGAATCGAGTAGAATTCGGATCGAAAGTCTTACCATCCGAACCTTGTACGATTGGTGATGCACAGCCCGAACTCATCAAGATCTTGTTGCTACAAATGGGAAACAACATACTCAAGATTTACAAAAACTTCCAACGGAATTTCTGTGAAACGACTGAGTCTGGATGGCAACAATTTCAGAGGAACCCACAGTTCAGGTTGGACCTTGACCCAAAAGTGCCGTATCTTGGTGAAGACGATGACGGATACCTCATTGAACCCACGGATGACCAGATGAGGGAACTTTACCAACAAATCGGCAATCCTGGATCGAAAGACGATATGGGTGAAGATGGCTTCGTCAACGCATATCACGGATCCCTTACCTTCAAGAAGTTGGTCACCTATGTGCTAGAATGTGGCTATGCATTCTCTGACCTACAACATTTGTTCAGCGACGAGAGCATCGAACCACTGACAAGAGGTGACACTGCCGAAGAAGAAATGAAGAAGTCAACAAAGGCCCGTGATTCACTTGACGCACAATCAACCTTTGTCAGACGAGTCATCGCTGGAGCATACAAAGTGAACGCTGTATACTTCTTCAGAAATGTGGATTTTCAGTACACTGTAACTACGCTCAATCCTGTCGATATCCTATGTGCTTGTCGACCACAGCTCAGACGTATCTCTGTACGACGAACTGTTTGAGAATCAAAACAACTGATAAATCAATGCATGTAATCTGGTGAAGGATTTGTCTGTATCATAAACATTAAATATTACCTACATGTAAACCTATAATATCGACATGTAAGAACATCCTTGCATTCTCAACTCATGCCTGAAACCGCCTTTTGTTGGTAGCTCCCAGTGTTGAACCCGCACAGCTCCATGGCGTTGAGTGTGATTTCCTGATCTGTCTCGTTTCCAATGTACAGTGCGAACGCATCATCGAGAACCAATGCAGGCTTTGCCCTTGAGGCGGCAACATAGGCTTTCCTTGCAAGGCATCATGGACACAGAACTTGGTGAATCGAGCTTGGGTCTAGGACTTAAAATCACCCTAAGCTGCAGGGGCTTTACAACCAAAACATCAAGACAACCTTTGCCGAGCAGTCAAATGATGGCCATTATATAATTTAAAACTTGCCCGCAGGCCTCGTCACATTGAAGGCAGATTCGGCCACATGTTCCTTGTCCAGCAATCTCGTGATATCCAAGAGCTGACCTCCACCGTCAATGCTGTAGTCTGGGCGACCAGTGGCCCGGGCACCCGAAGTGGAGGAAGCTTGCCCTGCCCCTCGCGATGTCTGACGATCTGCATCTGGGAGCTCCTGGATCAGCTCTTTTTCCATTGCCAGCACATCTGCATGGGATTTGGTGCCCTCTGCAAACTTCTGCAAGAGCGATGCTGGAAATCCTGGAGCGTTGTTGCACCAACTGAGAAGCTCAAGGCTAGGCTCTGGAAGAGGTTCAGTTGGTCGCCTCTTTGGCGGGGCTTGATCTGAACTGTCCCAACTGTCATAGACCTTCTTCTCAAGCGCGGCCTGGCAATCACGCTGCTCCTCGCGGAAGACGCCGATGTAATACACTGGTGGGCGCTTCACCGGCCGCTCAAGCATCCGCTCCAAAACTGCATGCCCAAACTCTGCATACCTGTCGCTACGCTTGGTTTGAAAACATTCACTTTGAATTTCACAAACCCCAGTGCAACCTACAGCTGACGAATCCAACTTGTCATTAGAAACCGAAAACTACTCTGACATCCTAAGTCCTGAGCTTCTTGACCTCTTCTGGGGATTGCATCCTTAAGAAACCATCTCATAATGGAACCCTTCTTACCCTTAGTTACCATCCACCCAAACCCTCGTGAGCTAGTACTTAATCCTGTCTAACGTGGGGCTGCCATATTTCAAACCATGTTTGGGGGCCAGCCAGCTTTAATTGGTAATTCTTTCCATTATTATTTGCGGAAATGGAGGTGCCACCCTTCTGTAAATATAACGCTGAAAATGCAAAGACAATGCGCACCCACAGACCACAAGCCCATGATGCCTGTTGGCTAGACAGTCAGCAAAAATGACAATGCCTCCATCCTTCCAATCCATGCACGGAGATACGAATTGAGGATTTCCTGGTGGCATGGGATCCCTTTCCTCAGCACTGACAGCATGCACGTTTGACAGAGAAACTCAAATTCTAGCGCGGCAACTCGATACTGTTGGCCTTGTGCATGCAAGACAGATGAGACGGATAGTTAAAACAATGCCTCCGAAATTATAAATTCCTGACATGTACTTTTCTTGAAGCACCTGTTTGTGGAACCTGCGGAACAGCCACAGCACTGTTCCGTTCTTGCAGCAGGGCCATGACGACTGTCTGGATCGTATGCAATCATGTCTGTGCACTTGATGAGGGCGCACGGGCCGATCAGACCTTTGGACACGGCAGATGCGGCCTGCCATGCACTCCCCTGTGAATGATCAACGCTCGTCACGAAGAAGCAAGGATGATTGACACACCGCTTGTCGTTCGCATGGTTGCCAGTCTTGTTGAACATGAGGGCCACAGGCACAGTGATGTCCATCTTGCCCTTCTTCAGAGCATCTTCCAACATGCGTCTGTGTTTGATCCATGCATCCGTCGTGGTCTGGGACTGAATGACTGGAGTCTGGCAGTGCCCGCCATTGTTGGGCGACATCGCACGCAAATTGGTGAAGGTGTTCAAGCAATTCGTCACATAGTGGGCATTGCTTGGCCACACACACGTGTCCAAACCACAAAGCACAAACCTTACGCTGGGAAGGTGGCTGGCCCGAACACGTGACAATGCAACCAACTGTGGACTAGTTACACGATAAACAATAGACTTGACAAAGCCAAGAGCCAATTTGTCAATGTCCGAGTCAATGACCTTTGAAACAGAAATCACGACTTGATGGGCCCAGAAAACTGACACTATTTAGTCGCAGGAACACTCTGGAGACCCCTTCGCTTGTGGACCACTTTGAGATGAAGCCGGCGACCTCTGTGAATGCATTGCCCACTTGAGTCACTTGAGATGCATCCTGTGTCTTCGGAAAGATGCACTTCGCATATTTCTCCATAAAGTCCCTTGTGTAATCCTGTCCCTTCCTCAGCTCCAAGAATATCCAAAAACTAAAAGTGGGCGAATGGACCAAAAAAAGCCAGCAACTCAAATTGGCGACAAAGACCCAAAAAACGGATGGGGAACTAAGAGGACAACCGTCTAAAACTTCGTTAAAAGTATCTTTTGCCTGTCGGCCACGTACTTTTTGCCCAAAGCCGCCTCTCTGGCTGAATGTGCTTGGTTTGGCAGACGGGCCCGAAGCACTTCCATGTCTTTCCAGAACATGTGTTTGATTTGGTCCACCTGCGCAAGATTGACTTTCTCTGCCAGATCACGTTCGGTCTGCTGTGCCTCCCGCATTTTGCGCTGCTCAATGCTCGCGATCATGTTCCTGTGCAATCGGCATGTGGAAGCCTGGGTGAAATTTAGGGGCTGGGCTGGGGCATCTGAAACTGCATGTCTTTCCAGATTCCCAATCAAGTCCTGACGAAAGGCACATTCACCAGAGCGATGGGCGGGACGTTCGTCTCAAGAAAGCTCAAGATGTC